CGAGATGTTGTATTCTTGTAGATTCGACCTCTACAATAATCCCATCTTTAGGTAGCCACTGGCTTTCGTCGCTGACCATTCTTCATGCGCCGAAGGCGGTAAATGTTGTTGAGTGAAGCCTCCAAGTTCAAACCCAGCTGCTTCGTCTCTGGGTTCGCTTGAGCTGCCTTGAACGCTTTTAGCAAGTCTGCATCCGCAAAATGAGTCCTCAATGTGTTAATCATAGGCGTGCTCACTCCCGTGCTTTCCTTCGTCGCTTCCAGGTATTTGGCCCATGTATTAAAGTTCGGGTTGGTCAGCAGGTCGTCTGCCTTGTCATCAAGCTTCATCATTCTGAAGACATCGTCCGAGGACGTTCCTAGATATTTCCAGTCGTCCAGCTGAATTTTCTGTAACTTGGTCGCGATTTCCTTCGTACCGTCAACCTTCGTTGCTGCCTCAGCCATCCGCATCAGTTTTACATCGCCATACCGTGCCAACAAGGAGGTGAAGATTGCACGATCCGCGTCAGTTTTCGATACCATGCGCGTGTAAGCGACCCACACGTTGAAATCCGCGCTCTGGAAAAGTTTGTATCCGGTCTTGTCGAGTTTAAGCTTTAAAAAGACGTAGTCCGGGGATTTCCCTTTCTTGGCCCATTTCAGATACGTCCCAGGTGTATTTTTTGTCTTGAATAGGTTCGAGACCTTCTTGAGGTTGTCGAGGCCTGGAATTTTCTTGAGTGACTCGAGGCCAGGGATCGACTTGATGTTGATCGCTCTCTCTTCGTCTCCTTCGCTGACAGCGTCTGTCCTCAGAGCTCTCAGAGCTCTGAAGACGGAGGCAGCGTTGGCTTCTGCTGTGAGTGACTGGGTTGAGAGATGGAATGCAGATTTTGATAGCGTGGTTTCTGCTGCCGCAGATACAGTGTCGATTCTAGCGAAGAGGGCGGCGGATACGAACAGAAGAAGATAGCGGAAGCGCGCTATTGTCGTCATAGTGCCGTGTACTGAGCAGATTGCAAAGTAACATGTAGACAGTTTCGCTTGATCAGTTGTAAAAAAACTCAATGTGGTAGATGATAACATAGAACGACCATAAGATAGTTTTGTGGGATTGGGTGGACAGGAAAACCGGCTGTGAGCAAGCATGAACCCCAAATGTTTACGTTTGTTGAAGTGTTTGATTTGGTTGAATTGAGTATCATTACAAACACACAAAACGCCTTGCCTCAACAATCCCAGGAGTTCAAAGACACCTGTTAAATACCTATAACGCGAAAACGTCGAAACGTGTATGAGATTGAAACGTTGTGTCAAAGCGGTTACCTTGTGTCAGTAGATTTATGCTAGGTTTGAAGGTTGGCTCTCCCTACTGTCACCAAGAATGGACAAAACGGAGCATCATATCGCTACCGGTATTGATGCGGTATTTAGAGAAAAATGTTTAAAATTGCGTGGTACACTCAATGCAGATGCTCTTGCTATTATCGTATACATGTACTGCATTACAGCACCAGCATTGGGAGCACTGGTATTTGTAGTTATCTTCTCGTAACAAACTTTCTCCTTACACTCAAAAAATATTCACGCATTATTGGTGGATGTCTGCGTCTGCCACTACGGGATCAGATACGTAGGAAAAATGGGCCCAAATCAACTCTCGAAAATGTCCTCCACCTTGCTTAGAGAATCCTCTCTGTGAAAAGGGTCGTATGTCCATACTGGTTGCCGCTCCATGTCAAAGGTGATACCACACCAGTGGGGAAAAACCACGTTAATATAAATCGGGCAGCACACGATCCGATTCGCTTGCATTTGGCTGAAGATGCGTTCGCTAGTGTCGATAAATCCACTCCTTTTATCCACGTCTGCCATTTGAAGGTAAATAGGGTCGACAACAGTCACTATATTAGGTTGACACCATAACAACATTGCCGCTTCCTCCGCAACACGTTGTGATACCAGATACACACATGCATCACTCAACCAGATCTCATCTCCAAATCTAGCAAGCTCCGTAAAAGGAACTAGATTTCTCCGTCGATCAAAACGTGCTGCACAAATGCACCACTCCCAAACTTATCGGAAACCATCAAACTGAAGAGACGGTAGCTGTTAGCATCACGAGAAAAAAAACAGTTAGTAAATGGTGAATATATAACCAAGTATTTATTTTTTGTGATAATATCACCAAACATCGGTAATCTTAACTCTAAAAAGTGAACTATAGGTGGATATCATCGGTCTAGCGCCTATTGAGATTAGTTCCATGCGTGGCATCAATTCATAGAGCCTCTGCAAACATCCTCGCCATCCTTCTCATGTGCGCGGTCTGGAAGGTGATACAGCTTGTGAGACTTGTTGTAGGATCGCGAAAAATTCTCACTGCGTTCCCTGGTCCCTCTCCAAAGTCCTGCAACAACTGGGACACTCGAACGTCATCTGATGAAGTGTACGTCTCGCGACGCATCTCAGCGATCATGTTCTCCACATCCTTCTGTTGAAGCGGCTTGCTAGGCACTTCTTTCAGGTAGGCAAGATTGTTTTTTGCGTTTCGAACCACCTACAAAGATTTTAAGAGTTAGAACATACCTCAGTACATAAAATATCAGTAAAATATGTTTCTTTACCTTGTCACATTGTCTTGGCAACACGCTTGATCCCTGGTGATTCGATTTTGCGTGTCTTCGCATAGCAGGTGTACTCATCGGGGCCCATGCTGGGATTATGAGTAGACTGGTGCTTCGAGATTCGAACAGTGTAGACTCCTTTGTCACGGTTCAGCGCGGCATTCAATTGCCCCTTGCAACCAATTCCACGGACAGTATGGTTTGTGCGGTCACCTCTGCCCCGCGCCTTGAAATCCCACCCATGTGTACAGATAAACGTTTTTGCGTAATACTTGAGAGTTTCGTCGTACAAATCCGGCTCTTTTCCAATTCGACCAGCACGCTTTTGAGTTTCACGATTCCGGTCACGCACAGAATTACTCGTCCTGAACCGATATATCTGAAAAATCTCGTTTTGGTAGCTACAGAATGCATTTTAGTTAGAAAGTATGGTCAAAATATTATACAAACGATGGATACAAGCTTCATCTTAGTTTGTTAAGCGCTTGTTCTCGTCTGACATTGAGGCGAGGAGACGCTTCTACCCTCATGAATAACATATGTTGTTCGATGGGTTTGAATTATGCCAAGCAAACTGCCAATAAGCTTACGCCCGCAGAGATTTCATAAGTCTACTGAAGTGTCTTTCTTGTAAGCGGAAGCTACAGAGCTATGAAATACTGCAGACAACTCGATATTAAAAGAAGGGGCACGATGTAGAGCCGCAAATGATTGGGTGGAAGCGTTTTCGGACACGCCCTTATCATTGTTTTAAATTTGAAAGCTTTAATGCGGGCTTGTTTATGGATACTTTCAGCGTAGTCTCTCTCAAACTACGGTTGGAATGCAAAACCTGCGTCGGGGAACTCTTTGGTGTACGCCTTGTTGTATACACGCCAAATATCCACGCTGGGGTTGTCAGTGTAGGTTTGGGAGTTCAGCTTTAATACACCCAGGATATCCTTCGGGGTCTTCTTGTCAACCATCCACTGATTGAACTGAGCTGTCTGCAAGTTCTTGGCGAAGTCCTTCGTCTCTTCGACCTTCGTAGCTGCTTGGATCATCGTCGCCAGCTTTTCGTCGCCGTAACTCTTCGTGAACGTCTGGATCATGGTCGTCTCAGCCTGCGGGTATTCCTTGTTGAACGCCTTCATATACTTGACCCAAATGGTCAAGACCGGGTTGGCGAGGAGGTCATCTCCAGCCTCGTTTAGCTTCAGATTATTGAAAATATTCAGGGGGTGTGTCGGTTCGCCCAACCAGCGCTTCACGAGCTCGTCCTTGAACTTCTTCACCACGGCAGTGTTGTCATCTGCCGAAGCCAGGAGCATCACGAAGTCTTCCTCGCCGTAGATTTTCGTGAAGACGCTCATCTCTGATACCTGTTTCGTGGGGTGTTTCTCGTTGTATTTCTTCAGATAGCTAGTCCAAGCACCGAGCTGCGGGCTATTAAAGATATCATCGGTTTTCTCGTTTAGCTTCAGTACTTTGAAGATCTCGGCTGGGTTTGAATCAAGCTTAATCTAGCGGGTAAGCTGAGCATCCTCCAAATTTTCAGCGGCAATCTTTGTATTCGGATTTTTCATTGCCTTAGCTACGATTTGTGCAACCCCATCACCGCCGTAAGCCACTGTCATTGCTGCGGCGACAGACTCGCCTGGGTCCTTTTCATTGAGCTTGGCGATGTAAGAAGCCCACTGTTTCCACTGCGCACTCTCCAAAATGTTGTCAGTCACCTCATCCACTTTGAACACCTTGTAGGCGTCCTTCGCGGAAGTTCTTTCGTTTAGCATGTGCCTAATCTGGGAGCTTTGACTCA